AGGTTGTCCAAGAGAGTATAAGGTCCAATATTATACTTATAATATACTAATAATATAAGTAATAATACGTGTTCCTGCTCATCATTAGCATTAATATCATTGCCATTTTTAATCTATTCTACGTGTTGCTGTGTTGGCTGCCTCTCTCTGCTCCCTCTGTCCTTCTCTCGCCCTCTCTCTCTCTCTTGCTCTCTCTTTCCCCTCACCCCCAACCGGCCGAGGCAGAGTGCCGCCCACCCTGAGCCATGGTTCTGCTCAAGGTTTCTGCCTGTTAAAAGGAATTTTTCCTTGCCTGTGTCGCCTAGTGCTTGCTCACGGTCGGAATTGTTGGGTTTCTGTAGTTAACTTAAGAGTAGGGTCTGACCTGCTCTGTTTGGAAAGCGCTGTGAGACAACTGTTGTTGTGATGTGGCGCTATATAAATAAAATTGAATTGAATTGAATTGAATTGAATATTTCCAGATAATAATTTTGAATGACTCATACAAGCTCCAGAAGGTACATGGAAGGCAGAGGGAAGTCAGGCAGTTTTCTATGGGGAGTCCCATTTTCTTAAAACAGCACTTATGTGTTAAGAATACAGAACTTTAAAATACTCTTTCATTCTTTGTTTGGATTAGTTTAGTTTCACACAGCTTTTTTTTTTTTTTGGTTAAACTGAGATAGATAACGGGCGGCACGGTGGTGTGGTGGTTAGCACTGTCGCCTCCCAGCAAGAGGGTTCCGGGTTCGAATCCCGGGGGAACCACGACTTTTCTGGGTGGAGTTTGCATGTTCTCCCTGTGTCTGCGTGGGTTCTCTCCGGCTTCCTCCCACAGTCCAAAAACCTGCATGTTAGGCTGATTGGAGATTGGGGAAATTGCCCTTAGGAGTGAATGTGAGTGTGAGTGGTTGTTTGTCCTTGTATGTCTTGTGTGTGGCCCTGCGATGGACTGGCGGACTGTCCAGGGTGTACCCTGCCTCTCGCCCGTTGACCACTGGGATAGGCTCCAGTTCCCCCCGCGACCCCATGAGGGAATAAGCGGTATTGATAATGGATGGATGGATGGATGGATGGAGATAGATAACACAAGTTCATCAGCTATTTATTATAGAACCTTTCAAGAGCCTGGTAACTATGCTGATTAAGGGAGAGTCAGTGTTATCTCAGAGAAATGACGACTATTTGATACCTGTCTGTTGTAAAGGTTAAAGATCTCCTCTAAAATTAACTGCATATTCTTAGAGAGCGGGATGAAATAACTCAGCTCTTTGTGTCTTGGTATGTTTTAAAGTGGTGTTAATTCTAGCGAGGTTAATCCTTTTCATCTGGAGGTGATTGCAGGTTATCCTGTTCTTTTTTCAAATGATAACAATGGACATTGAGAAAAGCACCTATTTGTCTTTGCTTCAAACATTCCCTGCAGCTGCCGTTTGCACAGCTGTGTTCATCTGGATCCCAGCCAGAGTTTTTGAGTCTACACATGCACTGTAATGACAAAACCGAGCATATAGCTCTCAGACACACAAGCGCGCACATTCAGACATTCAAACTCCTCAACCATGGGTTAAATATTCCTATTGTAATCAATTTAAGACTAAATCAGACTGTACTTCCTTCCTAAATGTTTAGCCCGGAAAGACATTGGCTTAAGTCAGCACATTTTCAGGAAGTTACCTTTAAAAAGTACAAAGAACTGCAAAGGTTTTACGCTATAGATCAATACAAATCTTGCAAAATAGAAACAGAATGACAGAGTTTATCCATCCCCCGTAAGGGAAATAAAAATGTCAAATGTAGCTTAGAATTAGGACGCATTTACAATGATTGTATATGTAATTATTAATGACTGTGAGAAGAACATGTCAGCAAATTAAGGGTAGAAAGTGGGAGATAAATCAGTATTCTGCTCTTATAGAGGCAAAATCCAGCTAGGTTTTTAAAGACACAAAAATCCCAAGTGAATTTTGCTTTTGTTTAGTCTTTTATTGTCTTTGTTGTATGCATACAAAGGTGAATACACTGCCAATCTAGGTTTTAATGTTCTCATATAAAATGTTTCTGGATTAATCTGCTAATAATTCCTGTAGGGTTTCAGATGCTGTTGGGAGAGATGCACGGTACGCCATGGACGGATCACCAGTCCATCACAAGGCCACAGACGCTCAAATTTACACTGGTCAGTTAACCTAACATGCATGTTTTTGGATGGTGGGAGGAAGCTGGAGTACCTGGAGGGACACTCGGACACAGGGAGAACAAGCAGACTCCACACAGAAAAGTCGGAGTGTAATCTGTCAGACAATAATTCAAATCAGCCTGATCAAACTACTGCATGACAAAGAACTAGGTTGGCATTTCACAGTAGGGGGCCGTGCAGTTCACACCTAAACAAGTCAAACTTAGTACAGCAAGTGGCACTGTCAATGATATAGATAATAATAAAAGGGAATTCAAAATGAATTTTTCAAAGTTGAAATAAGTCCATCAAAAATGGCCAAGTTTTAACAGGATGTTATGTTAGATTGCAAAAATGGTAGTATAATATAATAAAGACCCTAACAAAACAGTCATGAAACCAACTATTTTTTTAGAAAATGTTGTTCTTCAGAAAGGAATGTCGTTGAGGACTTCCACAACAGTTACACAGCTTCAATGTGTGACATTGCTTCTATATATATATATATATATATATACATACACCTGTACATGATTACAGGTAAACGTGCCCCTTTATTAGTGATTCCAATATACAAGTAACATTAACTAACCACAGCTATCATTCTAAATAGGGGAGTAAGGGAGCATAATCAATGTGACAGATTCCTAATTTTCATTTCTTGTAAATATCCATTACACATTAGAAAATGTGTATAATCTACACCAGATATTATTGGACAAAGGGAAAGATGAAGGGAATGGTGACCTGTTCTGGCAGACTGTAGGAGAAATGCATGTGGAGAAATTTTAAAACAATGGCAGGAACTTTCTGGTATCATGGATGTAAATGTAGCAACTGTGTGGTTCAGGAGTGATATGAAGAGGATGTCAGTTTAGAGCTGGGTTTTGTTAAAGCCCTTAACTGTCTGTGTCTTCTTTGTCGTAAAGTGCTTTTATTGTGAAAACGTATTGTGAAATTTTGAAGATTCAATCAAAAAATGGATCGACAATACAGAGTCTCAAACCCAGGTCCAGACCCCACACATCCCATGGAGGGTTTCTTAAGATTAGCTTGCTATATTGTGTTGGTTGTTTATACAATTAATCCAATATCTGTTTAATCAGACTAAAATAAATCAACTGTGTACATATCAACTTTATAGAGACAGGGACAGACATAAGGGCAAACATATTCATGAAAGCCTCGTAAGACATTTGTAGATGTGACTAACAAAGTTACCCATGTGTTCTGGACATTTATCTCTCCATGCCCCGGTGCACGTGTCACTGCTTAAGAGGAAAATATTTGCAGAACCCAATCATTACTCTGTGTTAATCCGGGTAATGTCTTTGCATCCAAAAAATCCAGCTGTGTTTTCTCAGCTGCTGGCGGGACAACAAGGCTGAGGTTACAGATGGAAAACACTTCTGGACTTAGAACTGTGCAGAACTGTTTTTCCTCCACAGGTAAACCCTGCTCACGAACAGTCAGCAACATCCTGCATGGTTTTTGTTTGCATTCATGTTCCTTTCAGAGCAGCTTTAAATGAAAAGCTCTGCGCAGCAGATTTACACATACTGGAAAAACCACCTGCCGTCTATCATTTGCCTTACAATGCCCCCTAGTGCTACAAGTTAGTGTGACTGCGCAACCTCCTGCTTATTGCAATGCTGTGAAATAAACCTATCCCAATGAGAACAACACCATCTCTTTAAAAATGCTACTATCACTATTAGTATATGGCAGACTCATAGAGCTTATTTAATTTGAAAAGATGTTAATCCAACCTTTGATTTTCTTCACATGTTTGATCTAGTTCAATCTTGCATTCTAGATCTGTCATTGACACATGCAATGCATTGTAAAACAAACAAAAAAAAAGAACAACAAAGCAGAACCAAGACTGTCCAAAGCTAGCATGCCAGATCTTCCCAAATTTCTGGGGTGTTGTTAAAAGAGGAAATAGAAATAAGACAACATTTTTAAGATATGTAAGGCACTCAAAATGGGAGTTACTTAATAAAAAATAATGATGTCTCACTTCAATAAAAAAATTCTTTAAATACTTTAATATAAATAAACTACTAAATCTTGAGTTAGGAAATCCTTACATTTCTTTATATTAATGTTTTTAAAACTTTTTGGGAGGATTGAAATAAAATGATTGGGACTATTTCATATTAGAGTAATAATGCAATATATTAACATACAGAAAGAATGGTAAAAGCATATTTTGGGAATTTGAATGAGGATAAAAATGACAAAGACGCTGAAAAGAAGTAAATATCTGGTAAGTCTATTCATTTTCCATTCACTTTAGCTAAAATTAAAAAAAGAAACTGGTGAAAAGACCATACATATACAAGTGGCCACTTCTTCAGTTTGGAGAGAAAGCTTTAAAATAAGCTGCATAAAAAATGAACAGCGGATTTTTCAGTCCTTAAGAGCGTCGGTAACTGCAAAAATCACATTGTACGTTATGGTTTTATAAGATATTACAGTGAAAAGGAAATAGCTGGGTGAATATTAAAATAAACGTTACATATTTAAATAGGGAAGAAGATAGCCAGAGGAGAAGTATGTTTGTATCAGAACCACATAGGCTTCAACTACAAAGTTATTAAAAAGAAAAAGAAAAGTATATGTCAAAACCATTTTTTTCTTTTTTTTTTTTTTTTTCTCAAAACAAAATTGTTAAACGTGACATGAGAAAGCTTATGGATGGTATGGCTGTCTGTTACCTTAATAGACATAATCAATAAGGACAACGTATCAGGCAGAACTGGGACTGCTCCGGAGCAGGAGGTGGCGGTAACGCCCCATGAGATTCATCTTTAGTCACCTCAAAAGCGTAGAAGAAGAAGAGAGGTTTAGTGGTTTCCTGCCGTGTTGACTGCTGTTATTTCAACAGAGATGGCAGGCGGACAGGGCTCCGATGATCTGTTTGACAGCATTCTGTTGGCGGATGAAAGGTGAGCGATATTTTGTTTAAAGGGGCGCTTGCTCTTCGAAATATTTTCTGGAATTCTCATAGAGTGTAAACACACGGTAGTATGTTTTTATTTTATTTTTTAGTTAGGGTATGGTCGCTCCATACGGGATGCGCATGCGCAAACATTCTCTCGCAAAGACTAGCATCCTCTGGAAGGCCAGTGAGGTTTGCTAAACTATCTATTTGACGGATTTATTACCGTGTTGATACCATTGTAGATTTTCTTGATGATTTTGAGGATATATATGACTTTCTTCTCCCATTTCATTCAAATATCTGCTCGTAAAACAACTCCGTTTTACATGCTCATGCGACAGGGATAACATTTGAGTTAGACCTGCTTTCAACCTGCTTCAATACCTTTCCTTCTGTTATCGGTGACTGTTAAGGTCTCACTAGCCAATAGTCTCTGTGTTTGTTGTGTTTACTCTCAGACCTTTACTGTCCAGAACCTGCTGCCATCGACTGAAACAGTCTTGGAGACTAGCTACAGCTTCCAGCCACAAGTAGATTATTGGCATACAGCTTATCCCATGGCACTTCTCTCTGGATAAAGTCACTCGTTGCATCCCTCAAAATGGTGAATAGCAGTGGACTTAGTAATTAACCTTGATGAATGTATTGCTAACAGTTCCAACTGTTGTTTTAGTGTATAATGGCAGTACAAACTATTTTCTCTGTCATGGCTTTTAATTTGAGGCTCCAGAAAGCCACTTTTCTAGAGATGTGTCGAAAGCTTCCCCCAAAACAGCAACGCTCCAGTGTCCGCTCCTCTTTACTTTCAGGATTAATTTCTTTTCCTGAATCTGCCAAAGAATGAAAATTGCATCTACATAAACCTGCTTCAAAGTCTTCCAGAAATGTACAAAAAGTTGCCACTTTCTTCATTTTCCATGTCGATCGTGAGTCCTAATAAATAGATAAATGATTTACTCCAACAAGACTGTTCAAACCCTGGTTAGAAAGCAGAGATTTCTTTCTTCTCGGTTGGCTACATTTGGGTAAACGCAGGTTCAAAATGTTTGAACCTGCTCTCTAAGCAGCTGTGGTAAATGTCAATGTTCTCTTTAAAGCATTCAACCTTTTACTGTAAATAAATTAATCCTTCCTTCGACGTCCAGAGCAGTTTTGCAGATGACAGACAAAAAAGCCCCTGGTTTGGATTGGCTGATCCTTGAGGAGTTTCTACAGTTAACTGGGCCCATGTCTGCGTAGGTACAGAGGTGCTAGCCAGGTGGTCCATGTGCTAAATGGGAGCCTTAAATGTAGACATGAGTGCATTTCTAGAAATTGTCTTCTCGATTGCAAACATACAAAAGATGCTCATGAACTCGGCTGTGTTCCAGATTCCGAGGTGAAGGCTACCAGGAGGGATTTGAGAGGGGCACCCAGCGGGGGCTGCGGGATGGCCGCAGACATGGCGCCTCTCATGGAGCCAGGCTGTCCTCCGAGGTGAGCGCTCTCAGTCTGGTCCGCCGGAGGGCCAGAGCGTTTTCTGCTGTAGACAACCTTAACTGGACTTCAGTGGTTGACTGTCTTCCATCACCTGACAGATGTCTTTCTATCACGGCTTTGCTGTCACGTGGAAGTGTCTCCTCCAACAGAAAACGGATGAGAAGTCCAGGTAGAGTACTTCCATTCCATTTTTCACTCTTGCATTCCTTTTGTCCCTTTGGTGTGAATCATTTATCAGTTTTTGTCTCATCTAGCATATTTATTATTAGGCTGGGATGGGCAGTGTTTATCCTTTGTGTATATCCAGTCAAACTACAGCATTGCCTTGGCAAGCATGAGCAAGAAATAAATTAAATCTGCTCATATATAAGTTTTAATTTTGTATCCAAACAATGTTTGAATGTGTGTTGGAGGAAAACAAACGGTACAGTCTATAAAAGTCTTTACAGGAAAGAGACATGCTGTATGAGAATGTGGGCAGTGGAAATCCAGCGTGTGTCGTTTGTGTCACCAGGAAACGCGTGAAGGCTCTGGAGGCTCTCCTGGGTTTGATCATGAACTCGCATTTGGATGATCCACAGTCTGTGAAGCTACAGGAGGACACGGAGAAGCTTCGAGCCAAGTTCCGACAGGTACAGGATTTTCCTCTTTTTGCCCTCAGCATGCAGTTGGAAGCAGCCTTTCCAGTGCACCCCACAGACTGTTCTCTAAAGCAAACCAGCTCACAGCTGCCACTTATTAATAAAGAGTGGGGCAAAAAAAATCCTTCGTCAGCCCTTAAGGGGGGGATTTCTTCTCTTAAAAAGATGAGAGGCTTGTAATCCTCACCATAGGTACGCATCAGCTATGAGAGGCTAAACGAGAAGGAAATAAATCCAGGAAATCACATTGATTGACTTTTTTTCTGAATTTATCTGTAAATGATGGTGGAAAATAATGGTTGGTCAATAACAGAAGTTCAGCTCAGGACTTTAACACGTCTTTGTTGGCACCATCAGAGGTCAAAGGTTTCCTGACAGTCTTCTCCAGGTTTGCAGACTGTAGCTGGTACTTTGGTCCATTCCTCCATACAGATCTCCTCCAGAGCAGAGATGCTTTGGGGCTGTTGCTTGGCAACAAGGACTTTCAACACTGTCTTGCTGGAAGACCCAGCCACGTTCCTTCTTCAGTCCTCCCGCTGATGGGAGGAGGTTTTGGTTTAAGATTTCACCATACATGGTCCTGTCCATTCTCCTCTTAACAAGGATCAGCCATTCCGTCCCCTTTGCAGATAAACTGCCCCAAAGCATGATGTTTCCACCCTCGTGTTTCACAGTAGGTCTTGTTTTGTCGGGATGCAACTCGGCATTCTCCTTCCTTCAAACGAGGAGGTGAGTTTTTACCAAAAAGCTCCATTTTGGTCTCATCCGACCTCATGATATTCTCCCAGTCCTATTCTAACTTCAGACGGGCCTGGACATGTTCTGGCCTAAGCAGGGGGACGCGCCTGCCACTTCAGCCTGGTGTCCTTGGACAGCTCTGTGGTCTGGGCAATGGCTGAGTTTGGAGTTTGTGGACAGGTGTCTATTAATACAGGTAACAAGTGGAGAGCGGAAGAGCTTCTTAACGAAGGTCTGTGAGAGCCTCAGGATGTTTGTTGGCGACCAAATACTTATTTTCCACCAGAATTTACAAATAAATTCTATAAGAATCCCAAAATTTGATTTTCTGGATTTTTTCTTCTCATTTAGCCTCCCATGGCTGAAGTGTACCTATAATGAGGATTACAGACCTCATCTTTATAAGTAGAACTGGCACAATCGGCAGCAGAATAAAGACGTTCTCACTCATTTCCAATTTCTCGTGTCGTATTCTAACGAAACCCCTTGAGATCAACAGTGACTCAGCGCTTGTGTTTCAGTTCTCCCACATTTCATTGCTGTGATTAAGATTTGACTAGTTTAACGATGAGCTTCTCCTCTAGCTCTCCTCATACATAGGAGACAATGTGGGGTTTGAGTCTCTGCAGAGACAAATGTTCCCTGGAGTTCCTCAGGGCTTAGTTCTCAGCCCTCTTCTGTTTAACCTGCTAACGGGTTTCTGATTGGTTTCAGCAATATTATGTCAGATCCTTTATTAGGAAGCCTTTAATTGAATGTTATAATGGATCACATCCAATGCAGCGCAGAGGTCTTAAAGGAAGAGGGATCCACTCTAAGAGGCAGAGATCGTTGATGCAACTGGTATAGGTTCAATACATAACGAGCAATCTTTCAATCTCAGGTTTTTAAAAACAAATATTTGACAATAAAGGAGTTAAGGGGTCTATTTTCTATCTGTTTGGTGTACTACATGTGTACCTTCTGGGAACAGAACCAGTCCTGTGTCCCTTCCTGGATGCTTACCTTGCAAGGAGCCCATCCCTGCTGTGCAGATGTTCACCTAAAACATCTGTTTTTCCGCTACTCTCTGCAGTCCTTTTTAGTAATTTATTTGATGGGTTTGATAACTATTAATATGATACTATTTGTATGTGTTTCTGCTTTTTCTGCTACCTTACAGGTTTGTTCAATGCTTAGTGTCCCCACGGACTTCAAGGAGTACGTCAGAACAGCAGAGAAAACCTCATTCTGAGTCAGAGTCGGCGGTGCTGAGGACTAAAGCTAAGGGGTTCAGTCCAGATAGGAGGACGGGGCGTTGACCTGTCACGCAGCAGCGAGGGCCTGGTCTGCAGCGGCGGTCCAGTCCAGGGTTTAGAGGCTCTGTGGCTGTATGGTTATTGTTGATCTAAAGAACTGGGCAGTTGTGGAGCAGATGACTCTGCTTCAGGGAGACTGAAAAAAAAAAAAAGAATATTAAAATGGTTTCAGAGTGATTCGAGGATTTTCTCACACAACCTGCTCAGGGTGGGACCCAAGGGTGGGACCCAAGGCGGGAGGAGGCTATCAGAGGAGCTCATTACCCTACAGGATCCGGTGCAGGATTCCACTGTGGATTCCAAATTCGTCAGAATTTAAATCTGAAGATGTGCGCATTGAATTCATGGAGGGAACATGTGACCAAAAATTAGGTTGAATCAAATAGACTTGAAATTAGTGGATTATTTCTAATAAATGAGGATTGCTCTATTTATTTTTTAGAGACTGTTTCAGAACTGGAATAGTAAAACGCATCTCCTAGATACAGCACAGTGGGGCTGAGTGGAAATATTGTATGAACTGAATGCTCAGGGCCGGTTGCAAGGAGAAATGTAGCAACATGTTCACTACCTTCTTGATTGTATTTTTCAATAAAGTAATATTTCATATCTATATTTACCTTTTCCCCCTTTTTTTACATTCGGGTAGTAGTTTGGAGTTAATCCACCATGTAGGGTGCATGGTTAGTTATGTTGGTTTTTGTTGGGTCAAAGCAAACCTCAGTTCAACATTTCATCTATTTTTATATATCCATCCATCCATTATCAATACCGCTTATTCCCTGATGGGGTCGCGGGGGGAACTGGAGCCTATCCCAGTGTCTATTTTTATATAGTGGCAGTTAATTCAAGAGTCCTTTGGAGGTTCTTTACAAAGACAGCAAACAGGTTCAAATCAAGTAAAATAAAAAGATCCATTTAATCTGATATCAGGTGACAGATCCAACAGGTTCAAAGGGGGAATCCAGACATCCTCTCCAGCTCCTCCTGGGTTCCCAAGGCTTGAGTATCTCCAGTTGACTCTCCAATGACAGGTTGGGGAACAAGAACCATTCCGGGTCCCTCATGGGTCCCATTTTGAGTCCAGCCAGGGTCTTGTACTCACTGGCCAGTGCCTGTGAGCTTTACCTGGGCATCAGTCAGCCAAAGGAGGAAAAGAAACACTTCAATGGTGGCCCACCACTTGTGAGGAGGAAGCTGGTGGTCAGATGCTTGGTAACATCTGCGGGGACATGACGTATATAGAACTGTGTAGAGACTCAAACCTCAGTTACTCACAGACGGCTCTTACAAAATCCAGTTTGGCTTGATGCTGGAGCGGGAGGAGGCCAGAGGAAACCTGCTGGATTCCCATCTTCAACTGTAAGAGGATGAGAAAAGGATGTTCTGGGATCCAGGACTTCTTTTGCCATTGGTAAATCTAGAACATATCCTGGTAGAAACACTACCCATAAGGAATCTTGTTAGAGCAGGATGTGGTCCCTTTGTTGCCAGGACTGTCTTACAGTGCTGTCTTCAGAGTGAACTGATGTAAAAGCACTACCCCTTCAAAGCCCGTATAGAAAAGAGCAAGTTCCTTTTCTTTCTAACTCAGCAATGGGCATGAGAATATTCTAGGAAAGTCAATGAGAGTCCAAACACACATGCATTGTTTGTGAATCATGGATGCCACAAGGGGACAGCAAAGGACCCCTTAAAGTTTACCCATCCATCTATTCTACCACCTAATCCAATTCAGAGCCACGTGGGCCAGAGCCTATTCAACCTTCTTGGGCAAGACAAACATCCTTAAAGGAAAATTTTTTAGACACCGACACAGTGATCACTGCCACTTGCTTTAAATGTCTGGTTCAAATCTACTACGGTGGATAGCAGTTTCTCACGTGCTAGTCATGATAATTTATTGATGCAGAGCACTAATAACAAAAAACCCATTATTCAGGTCTGCTATTATCCTAGATAAAACTCATGTTAATCCAAAATCCAATTATCAAATACTCAAAAAATATGGGTAATTAAGAGGCATGTGGCCTCCTTTCAATGAGGTCCAAAAGTCCGAGAACCTATTGTAAAGCAACCATTGTTGCTCATAGAATAGGGAATAATCATACGTGGCAAACTGACAGCCAATTAAAATAAATTAAACAGTCTAAAATAATTTCTGCTCTATTTTGAAAAAGTAAACATTCAAAGCCTGATCCAAGAACAAATATGGAGGGGAAAATGTTTTTTTTTTTCAGTCTGAAGTTTTCATTTGGCCCTTTGACGAAATATGAAAAAAAAGAAAATAAATCATTTTTAAATCTTTTTCATTTATTACCGTGCGACAAGTAATACTAACTGTCATGTGGTCTTCTGCTCAGTGTGATCAGGTCAATCTGATTGTGCACAACAGGGTTTTGAGAAAAGTCTTACCACAAAACATTGCAAGACATGTTCAATACAAATGGTATTATACAGTTAACTGTGCTCCAACAAAGTATTTGTTGTATATTTACTTCGAAGCATCCATACTTTTGCTAAATATTAGGCCCAAACCCATGTGAAAAAATGATCTAACCACAAAGGAAACTAAAAAGCGACTGCCAGAGACTTTTTATATCCCAATGAGTTCTCTGGAGCTCTAAGAAACTCATGCTTACTGTAAGAACAACAATGTTTTCTTGATCCTGTTTTACAAGTAGTGGGTCTGGCTCACCATCATCATGGACTGTGCTAATGTCCCAGCTGACTTACTCTCTGGGCTCCACGGCCTGTATTGGACTGTGTTTTTACAGGACTTCCCCTGCGCATAACAGCAGCAGCTTCAGGAGGCACCAGAGAGAACTGCAGGGACTTTCTCAGCTTTTGTTCGATGGCCTGCTTTGGGTTGCGTTTCCAAAGTCACACTGACAATAACCCTATAGGATTGTGTGTGTGTGTGCGTGCGTGTATGTGTGTGTGTGTGTGTGCGCGTGTGTGTGTGTGTGCTGGGGTACAGTAGCAGCTGGCTTATGCAGCGTCAGGCGCCAGGTGAATGCTGTCTCCCTAGTCGGCGGCTTCTGAGGGCAAACAGAAAAGAGAATGAAGGAGGCAGGAGGAGGAGGGATGAGGGGGCGACTGGGGCCAAATGAGAGAGTTGTTGCATTCAGATGAGCGTTTTGGTGCAAATTGTACCCTTTCATGGAGAAAAAAAAAGAATCAAAGGACGGACTGGAATAAGCAATTATCAAGGGGAAATTAAAAGAAAAGAAAAGGAATGAAATGACTGCAGCAGCAGAGGGTTGTTCAGAAGGAGAAATGGTGAGGCGTAAGCTGAGTAATGGTCACAGAAGGACAGAGAGGAGGACAGAAGATGGTGGAGGAGGAGCGGAGAGAGATGAAGAAGAGGAGCAGGAGGCAGAGGAGGAGGGAACCGAGGTCTTTGAGAGAATGTGGAGGAATGTGGGGAGCAGGTGGTGAGTGGTGACATGAAAAGCAGTGGTGACAAATGCAGCCGGCTGACCGGCCGGCCACAGAAAAGCCCTCTGAATGAAGCGGTGGCGTCGGATTTCACCACGAGCAAAGCAACAGCTCCAAGAGG